TTTACAAGTTAAGTATTCTGAAAACTCAGTTTCTGCTCATTTTAAGTTCGGCGTGCAAAGCAAACAACATTTTCCACTTCAAATGTTACACCTCAGTTGCCTACCTGAGAAACAAACATACTACATCCCATTTCTGTAAATAAGAGTGGGGCAAAGAAAAAAACCTAGTCACTCACAACACAGCGATTAACTCCAAGGAAACGTTCATTTATACAAAAAGGTCATAACTAGCAGCTTTAATTCTAGCATCTTCTAATGTGAAATTGTAATCTCAACACTCTTCTTAAAAATGTGTAATTTCACAGGAGACAATCAGCTGGGTTTCAGTGGCCCTGTTTCCCTGTTCATCATACAGCAGCACTAATACTGCCCTATTACATAAGGCTTTAAAAAAAAAAAAAAGTGCCTTTGTAATCACTTTGGAGTGCTTTCCACTAACAAATTATATAATTAATATGTCACTCAGATATTTGCTCTCTCATTTCTTTACACAGTGATTTCTCCCACAGTTCTAAGTTCTGGAATTTTCAGATTTACAGAGGTGTTAGAAGGATGCCTTGCATTTTGAATTAGCGAGGAATGACACCAGAAATGATGCTCAAAGTTAATTCTGCAGTCAGCGGCCTCGTGAAACTCTATCTGTTACAGAAGGGCTTTATCTTAGTGACCAGGTACTGTTAAGCAAATGACTGCCTATGGTTCTTATCCCATTGCTTTGATGGTCGCTTGCTCTGCTCTGAATAGCGGCTGCCTCTACAGTCCGTGGGTCTTTTGGAGAAGATGAACACTCAAATTCATTGACTAATGTAACAAACTCATTTTTCACAGAACATTGCTGTTAAACAGACATTATGCTACAAGTGGCGTAAGTTCACAGCATGTCACCAAACATACTGTGTTGTCCAGACAGGGTAAGAGGTTCTTTACCAGTTGGAAACAACTGAAAAGCTGAATTTCGGGATCACTCTACTCCATATACTAACTGATTTGCTCCATAGCTAGAAAGCTTACCAGTTAATTGAAATGTTTTTATGCAGGTTGAGTCTCTATTCATACAGGTTTTCTGAGGGTTTTTGTCGGTTTTTCCCTTCCCTTTTTGTTTTGTTTTGAGGAATGAACTTAGTGTTGTCTGCTTTGGATTCATACTATGGTAATACTTCTAAGCAGTGTATAAACAATAGTGCAGTATGTTGCTGTCCATGATATATTCAACTTTTTCTTCAACGGGGACCCACAATCAGTAGTACAGTACCGAGTGGAACAAAGAATATAGCATTTCTATAGCATTACTGCTAAGACTGTTAGATTTTAACACATTTAATAATAACAGTCTAGCCTGATATTTTACTTCCATTCTCTTATTTTTCTGCTAAGCTATTAAAACAAGTTTGCTCTAAAACTACAATAATTTAATCTTATGGTGATTACACAAGCATATATTTATATATTTTTGGGTTTTAATCATTTTACTCCCACCTCCTATAATAGTTCCGTTCTTTCCATATTTACTCAGTTGCAAAAATTACAAAACAAATTTATTTGCAAACAAATAACCCAGACAACAGTTCAAGACAAACAGAAAGTAACAAACAAGATATTAATGCAAATTAAATAAAACTAACTTCTACTTTGAAAATCAAACAAAATTTTGTTATAGAGAATACAGGAAAAGCCGCAAATTTGTCACCGAGTAGAACTGACGATAAATATTAGCTAATGAAGTAAAGTTGAGTCCTTGAAAGAATTCAGAACTACTGCCTCAAATGATCTCAGCACACAAACTTTCCATGTATTTATGACTGAAGCTTTGCACACAGTCTGTAATTATATTGTTTTATTGCAGCAGTTGCCTCAAATCCTTGCTACGATTATATGGGATTTGACACACCCAGGTTACCACCTAGATAACTCGAAGTGTGACCACTGTTCCAAACCTTCCCTGTGACCAATTTCATGGAACAACTCTATTGATTCTAACGACTGCAGAATGAGGGGTATCCAGCATGTGGCATGTGTTCTCAAGGCTAGATTAAAATGTAGCAATAGTCACGCCAGCTAAAGACTGTATAGCCAGGTGCCAGCTTGGCAATGATATTAAATGGCTCTTAAGACTACTGCTGAAAATATATTAGGGAAGCCTTTCCTACAGTACAGAGATGATGGATCTTCAGGATTGGTATCCCCCTTTACCTCTCAAGCGACACCTATCCAATGATTAAAAAAAAAAACAAAAAAACAACCCCCCCAAAAAAGAAACAACCAAACCAAAAAAAACCAAACATCAGTAAACCGGTGGGTAGTTCCCTTCAGCAGTACTACTTTAATGATTCACAGGAATTAGAACATTGCAACCCATCAGTACTCTCTGGTGGTTTTCACACAGAGCTCTCTGGTCCTTCACTGAATCTGTTCTTAAGGTTGGGGCTTGGAATTCTTTATTTGCTTTTTACACTCAATGAGCTGAAAACAACAATTTTTTCAGTTCATTTAAAATACTATACACTACAATCAGTTCTTTATACAATATGCGTGCAACACATTTAAAATAAAAACCTTGTGAAAATATATAATAAGAAAAAGTAATTTTAAGTGAAATTATTAAAATAACATTTCTGTAAAGGAGTAATTATGAAAAAATACTTCTGACTCCATTTTAAACTTGAAAAAAAAGTGTAATAAAACCCTTCCTGATTACATAAACACAACGTGAAAGTTATTAACCATTTTAATTCAAGGTCAAATATCACAATATTTACATTGCATATATGTATACTGGTCTTAGGAGAGAATGTCTAGATATGCATCCTTTAAGACCCAGTCAATTAACTGCTGTTTAGGAGACATCATCATCCTTCCAAAAAGACGTCCAATTTCACATGAACTTTTTGAATCCCACAAATTTTCGTAAAATGTACAAAAACATTCAGCAAAGGAATGTTATTTTTTAAAAAAATCTCATCAAGTAGTGAATCTGCTGACATCTTAATTTGCAAGATTTGAGTAAAACTGAGTGCACAAACTGAATAAAAACTACAATTAACCAAATTATCACAGCTCCATTGCAAGTCACCATAACGTGAAAAAATAAGAATGATTTAATTATGCAAAATTTCAAGTTCTGCTTTTTCAACACAGCGTCCCTTCTCAAACTGGCACAGGTATTAATTTGGGTCAACACGCCTTATTAACTAGCAAAATTTTTTATCCCACTGAACTATACTCTCACATTAGGTCACCAAAATCTAGCTTCTTTTCTGTCCCCATTGTAACCCTTTAACATGGAATGGCAAATTTTCCCCCACCTCCCTAAATAGAAGTTGAGCAAGACTGTCCCAAATACATGCAACCCTGTATTGTTATGAAACGATGCAAATTGTTTCTTTTTATTGATGATAAGGAAGAGGAAGGTCAAAAAAAACAAACTAAAAACCAAAACCACCCGAGTTTCCTAACTGAATAGGTTTGAAGAAGGTTCTTTACAAAGCATTCAAAGAAACATGGTAAGAATTAACAGTATCAGCACGCTACTTGTCACTAATATTCTCCATGTTACAATTGTAGTATTCACTATTACATTTTAATCTTTGCACTGTATTAACGACTTAAGAATTCATCCAGATGTGTCACAAATGAACTTCACTCCTTTCAAACAGGAAAAGGATGCCAAAAACACTGAACAATTCCATCCCTTTTCAAAAAACAGCTCTAATATTTCAAAGAACTAAAACCCAAGTATACGGTTTCACAACTTTGCTTCCCAGTTCTCAGTTAGCACCCATCTAGTATCAATCACAGTCAAAAAATTCTGATGTTTCAAATGTCTGCATCCTTAAGTAAGAAAATTAAACAAGGCAAAAAATTCACTAGTGGTGGAGAGAACAGGTATTTCAAGCCTGTTTGCTCCATGCTTTGTGTCTAAAAAATGAGTTGAAGAATGTGCATTTACCATCTGAAGATGTAAAAAGCATCATCTCCACAGCACACCAATAAGACACAGTCATCCAGCTCAACTAATTCAAGAATGATTACCGCATTCTGCCTAAAGCCTGTAGTCCCACAACAGCTTAAGCTATTCTGAGTTGGTGCTGCTAGTTCCACTTTGACATACATGCTTGTGGATCCAGTTCATGGTTCTCAAAAGCAACAGGAAATTTCCAGCTTTAGTTTTCAGCTGGCCTAGCACCGAAGCAGGTCATCACAGTCATTTAGATCACCAGTAACTGTCACAAGGAAGGGAGAAAGTATACCTAGCCATGGCTTTGCAAGTGGTACCGAACAGCACGCGTTGACTCAAACTGTGCTAAGAGCAGCCCTGGAACTGCAGCCTGAGATACCTGAAGGAGTCAAATTTCCTGATGGGAGCAGTACCACTCAGAGGCTGACTGATTTTTAAAACCTCAGCAATACAGATGGATAGTTCCTTCCTGGACCTCCACTACAGAAAAGAGCAACAATACTAATTTAAGAACATAAGTGATAACCTTCAGGAGAAGCTCATCACGAGCTCTCAGAAATATGCCCAGCATAGAAATAATTACAGGTTTAGACCCAGTTCATAAAAGGTTGTTGAACTGACCTTAGTGAGAATGCTGAAGAGCTGATTTGAACACCAGCAGCTGGAGGTAGGAAGTATTAGCCACTTTTTTTTTTTTTAAAAAAGAAAATCACTATGATGAACCACACAACACAATTTACATTTTGAAGATAGGTTCAAAAGAAAAAACTTCAACAACTATTAACCCAAAAGCCTTATTAATATTACACTTGTGTATTTTACACCAATTCGGAACTGCAACAGCATGTAACTGATGTGAAGCCTGTCAATAATCAATAAAAGTTTTAATATATTTTTCCTCGCATGAAGCATACAAAGCAAATTCACCACTTAGGGAAGGGGGTGTGTGGGGTGTGAGATTCTTTTTCAACCAAGGTCTCCTCAAATTATAGGTGATCTGAAAAAACTTACTGGAATGTTTACAAGAAGTAAAACATTTACTTGCCTCTACCTCCAAAATTGCTGGATCATGGTTGTCTCTGCTCTTAAAGGAGACCTGAAAAGCAAAAAAAAATTGGGCTTGTGCCCTATTTTGCTTCTTTAAGATGTTTAAGAGGCATGAAGACTTGGAATTAGGGGGTTTAGTTTACCCTGTGATGGACACAATTTATTCCTTCTTGTTTACACTTGAGATTGCAATCCCAAAAAGTCATAATATAAGACAACCTAGTTAAGGTAAAACAATGCAAGAATCAACAGAAGCTAAGTCACAGAAGAAAAAAAACTTCAGTTTTCTTCCCCTCACCCCCACCTCCTTCAAGTTCTCCTTCATTTGCATGATGAATAACACAAAATCCCTTTCCAGAGTTAAGTATTCCTGCACTATCACTACTGGTGATTTGCACATGGTTTTAAAAATTAACAATATACATAATTAAAAAAAAAAACAAAAGAGATAAAACATGAGTTAGAAATTTGATTGAGGTTGTATTTTAAATTTTTAACATAAAAGGCAATCGAAAAAAGCTCAAGTCCTTTTCAGGGCCTCTTTATGTTGCAAAAAAGCAAAGTAAGTAGAAAAACAATTCTTAGAAGTTCTTTGCAAATGGGAAAGAGAAAAAAAACATGAGCTGGCTAGCTATAAAAGGGAGACAAACATGACTTTCTCTTCCACTATTAACACGCCTGTAAGATGATTTGTATGTATGCTATAGTGATGCACTTATCAGAACATAAGAGCTGCTGCAACGTTTTTTCTAAAAAAGAGTGCATCTCATCTGATAGCACAAGGCTAATTTAAAAAAAAAAATTAAAAGTCAAATTCACACCAGATGCAGATGAGCAAAGAGGATAGCTTATGAGCAGAGAGGGTAGTTTATTTTAAATAATACCCATAACTGTTGGAGCAAACATAATAGCTCATTAATTTTAATTAAGATGGGATGGTACCATGTAATCCATTCAAAAAAATGGTTTAAAGCCCCTTCTCTAGTTCTTCCACTCACACTTAAACTATGTAATTACTATATATGAAAGACGAAAGTCCAATTTTTTTGGTAAATAGGGAAGTTAAAAATGTACAGGATTGTAGTCAACGGTTTAAGTAAAGTCAAATCAGTGAACTGACTGATATTCCCCATCATTACATACACGGAATGTGATCTTGCTGAAATGCTAAATAAGCATTAGACAGCCTCAACACTCTTCTCTGACAAAAAGAGTACTTTATCTTGATGTATTCAGATAGGAACACCTGGTGACACGAGGTACAGTTCAGTAAGTGTTTCTTTCAGGGACAGAACTGACTTAAGCAACTTACTCAGATAATGTGAATTCTGCACAAGAGTAGGCCAAAGATCTGGTCATCTTTACCAGAGGTCTATTTCCCAACTTAGCTCTCCGTGTATTACCAATAATTACAATGTTACTTTTCCAGTTGCAGCAAGCACCAGGCACTGATTCAAACCCTACTAGCACTGAATTCAATGCTCCAGTGGCGTAATTCAAAGGTGGGTTGTTTCGGTTTGGTTTTTTTTTTTGTTATTTTGGGTTTTTGGGAAGATTGGGGCTTGGGTGGGTGTGGGGGTGTTTGGTTTGGTGGTTTTTTTTTTCCCTTCTACAGATTAACTATAAGCAGAGAATAGATTTTTATTTAAAAAAAGGAAAGAAAACCAGAAAAAATCATCTTTCTTTAAAATACTGAAAATAACATATTAGAAAATAAGTTAAAATTAAGAAAAAAATCAAGTTTAGTTCAGAAGAGTAACTTTGAGGTCTACAAAGCATAAGATTCCAGGATCATACACAAAATTATTTCAAAGCTATAAAGAAAAAAAATTCACAAAATTACACTGTTTTCTCCTTTCTGTTGAACAAGAATCCTTTTCATCAAAAACTTCTTACTTTACTGGGTGAAATTAACGGCAAAATAGCAAACTAGGAGTTAAAGTAAAAACATATTAATGCAGACACTCAATGTATCCCACATCATGGAATGCGAGAGTGAAGTTTAAGTCTTCACGTTAAGTTTATTTAACAACCAGTTACCACTGAAAATAGTGGTCCTGACAGCTACTTCCCCTGAGCTGCCCCTGCTGCTTAGACAATTGTACAGGGGCCAATTTAAGAAACTCACAAACTCAGTTGACTCCTGAGGATGCACAGGAAACAGTGGGAACCGATGTCCTAAGGCTTTTAAAGGGAAACGACCATTAGACCAATCCAAAGATAGTGCCATACCACTCTCAGAAAACCTTCAATAAATTCGTGATAGCAAAAAGATTTTGTCCTTTGAGGACCACTAATATGATTAACTCACAGAGCTCAGGCATTACTCTGCTCAAGAGTGTGCGAGCCTCTTCAATCCTGCATAATTTGACGAAAAAGTAAAGACCCTTCAAATTAAATTCTGATTTAAGGACATCTGTGGTTATTTCAGTATTTATTTATCTTGACACCCCTCCAAACTATGCAATTATTGCATACAAAGCATTAAATCCCATTTGTTATGGAACGGAAGTGACCACAAGATTTTTGAAAAGAACTAAGAATTAAATAAAAATATCTCAGCTACCAGTTTCAATGCTATTCTCCACAGTAACATACAGTAATCTGAAAGAAATTATCTTCTGCTGGAATTTACAAACAATGCCTAGACCATATACTTGAAGTTCTTGCTGCAAAACCAACGGTCTCACAGCAAAAGGCACCTTCACTAAAAAGCGTTCAGAAAAGTCATAAAAAGATTATCAGAAAAAGTTGCTGATAGGATTTTTTTTCTCTGTTAGTAAAGCATATTTTAACTATTTAACAAACTACTGTAATACTCACCAAGAAAAAAAAAAAAGATAAAAAACAAGTTTTCAGTGCAAGTCGTGCTCAGCCAAACACACACAGTATAAACTCCCTGTTTCACCCATAACCTTTACCCTCCAGGTAGGGTTAATAAGATGTATCCCACTTTTCTAAGTAGAACGTCACATTCTCGTAATGGGGATAAAAAAAGTGTGAAACTAACAGCAATAAGATTTCTTCTAAAATGACTTAGTAGACCAATATACAACTATTCAACACACTCAGCCTCCACAAGGCAAGGAAAGGACACATTGCCATTGCAGTGTATGCAAAGCAAAAAGTAGGCGTAGCTTGTCTTCTATGAAGAAGTTAAAACAGATCAACAGGATAAAATACATAGACTGTCATCTTTGAGACATGAGGTATCTTAAAGTGAGATGTGAAATGTTTTTATTTGGGTGCTTAAATACACATAATCTGTTTTAACAGCTTTCTCTAACATAATACAACATGCAGGATAACTTACCTATTAGAGTTTTAAAACACTGCCCCATCTTAGGCAGCGGGTGTTATTCCAGTTCTTTACTCTGAAGATACCAACAAATAAACTCTTAAATCTGATAATCAAATAGTACATAAAAATGCCACACACAAAGATTCAAAGACACGGGCATGCAAACAGTTTTTCCCAATATACATACATAACTATAGGCATTAAGAAAAAAAAGAATTAAACTAAGAAATAAAGTTTTCACTGTATATATTCACCGAGAGTCTGAAGAGCAGCTGAATTAACTCTGAGTAAGCACATAATACGGGAAACTCCAGGCACAGAAATAATTAGTACACAGCTCCACACTGAGCTTTTCATTTGTGCATTCCCCTTCCGTAAGGGAATAAGCATTGGTTTGGGGTGGTATGTGGACAACCATACACCGTCCTGTTAGCTAAGTCATCCCAGGATACTGAAATCCATGCATTCTTCAAGTTCCGTATGTCCTAATATTCACCCCCACCTCCAAGTAATTATGTAGCTCTTAACACTAACCACTGTAACTGCTGGGATGAAGACAGAGTCAAGAGACTCAAATTCAAGGAAAGGGTAAAATATCTAGTTTGATACATATGAAAATTACTCTTCTCAGTTGCAGAAAGCAAGAAACTGTTTATCATCACAGAAAATGTATTTGTAAAAATCACAGATAAATCAACATTTATTAATAAGTTTAGGGAAAAAAAGTGCCTTCCGCTACTGTTGTCACCATTTTGTGGAGACTTAACAACTTGTTCTCAGTTTCCTCCTGATCTCTCAGGCCTGATCTTGTTCATCTCACCAAAAGTACTGCAGAATTTCATTTCCTGTTGCCTATTAGTGCGATCATGCCTCACTTCCTTTTTTCCCTTTAAAAATCCTTGAGGACAGTGTCAAATTTGTCACACAAATGAACATACTTTACTTCTTTTCTTAAACAAAAAAATCTCAAAAAAACCTGCTGAGCCTGTTTAAAATAAGAAGATTTTCTAAGCTAAATAAAGGCCTGTAACAAGACACACAACAAATGCCCGGAACTCTAATCATTAAAACTTGTTGCTGAATACTCTTCCTGAATTCAGAATGAGGCATTGGCACAGTAGTACCCTATTCACAGTATGACCAAAGCAGTAGAACTTCATATATATTTAAAAAAAAAAAAATAAAAAAAATCTACACAATTAAAATCTGAGTTCCCCGAGATTACACGCAGCCAAAGCATACTGGAGCCTGAAAATTTTAGCTTGATCCTCACCAATAAACTATTTTCACTTTAGCACATAGGAATATATGTACGATGTCCATGATGCACAAAGCCAGATATGGGGAATAAAACCCTTAAATTCAATCTGATTGTAGAATTGTTACATACTTCAGTAGCATACACACACAATATATATACAGGAAGAATGGAAGTTTTTGTGATTTATGTAAAACTTTGATAAACTCAATGTTCTAGTACACTGTATTTAAATTTTATTCAGTACATCTTACTTTCATCCCTCTTTTTATACCTAAGCTTAACTCCAAGTCATTTTTTTCCAATTTCGGAGACTTTGACCAGAAGGAATCATCAGGATGATCTAATCTGGCCACCAATATATCATAGGCCATTACTTTTCAACAGAAAAAGAACTGCTCTGACAGTAATCATTACAGATTGGTTTAGAGCGCATCCAAGGTCATCGTAACTTGACTCTGCTAATACATGGAATTGAAGTTTGTTTCTA